AATCAGCTCACGCATTTGTTCACTAAGTGGTGACCCTCGCCCCATCCTTGTTTGTGAATGACTGAGCATTTCAGGGAAGCTGCTTTTATACCCAATCATGGCACCCACCTGTTCCCAATTAGCCCGTTCACCTGTGGGATGTTCCAAATAAGTGTTTGATGAGCATTCCTCAACTTTCTCAGTCTTTTTTGCCACTTGTGCCAGCTTTTTTGAAACATGTTGCAGGCATCAAATTCCAAATGAGCTAATATTTGCAAAAAATTACAAAGTTTACCTGTTCGAACATTAAGTAACTTGTCTTTGCAGTGTATTCAATTGAATATAGGTTGAAAAGGATTTGCAAATCATTGTATTCTGTTTTTATTTACGGTTTACACAACGTGCCAACTTCACTGGTTTTGGGTTTTGTAAATGTCCAGTAAATTCACTTTTATCTGTGGTGACTTACAATGATACTTAACTTGAAGATAGATTAAATGACAAGAAACTAGCAATGAATAATGTGATAAGCAAAGGTACAACTACCCTCATTAAGGATGAAACAAAGTTAGGAACTTTGAAATAAACCAACTGGAAAGAATGGGAACATGGGTCTGTCCACCACTTTGTTCAATTCTTTGGTTTATGAACAAGTAGAGTGCCCCAGCAATGAGTCCTAAACCCGAAAATGAGTGAGCATTTTTCCACTCCTGCTTCCCTTGTCTTGAAGTCAATTGGCTTTTTAAATGGGTTTTTGGTTAGATGCCTGAAATAAGGTCTGTGGTTAATGCAAGCTTAAGAGACTTTCACGTTTTGTTCTATGACATAAAATACGCCAGTAAATACCCCACTCGTGAATTTTGATGCTTCTATGTGTCGTAAAAAAGACGGTTGCTATCAAGTGGCTAAATGAGACTACAGAACATCATTGTGCTGAACACGGCCTTTACAGCCTCATTGTCGGACCACAGTGTCGTCTGTTTATAGCCTAACGTTAGCTTTTTACCTCTGCCGATTGCATTTAGGCTTAAAAAATCATTAAAGCAGTGTTCATTTGTGAAGATTATCTTGCTGAACAACATGCGTTAGTATCAAACTTTTGTCTACCATTGAGCTGATTGTCTGCAATAATCCAAAATCCATTGAAAAAACCCACATAGGCTTTTTGATGAGGGAACCAGGGCGATGCTAACTTTAGCATCGGCCTTTTGAAAAACATCATCCCTGGAGCACTCTATACCTGCTAATACAGCCTCATTCCCATTAGCCTGAGCTGTACTTTGCTTTTAGCAAATGTCAGCATGCTAACATGCTAAAATAAGATGGTGAACATGATCAAAGGTATACCTAGTGAATATTATGTTGTCATTATGAGTAGGGTTGCCACCTTGGATTTGTGAAAAAAAGGGACACTCGACCAAATGTTTGAGGCGGAGGGCTCGGCCATTATTACCAGTTCAGACTGACCAATGAACATGAAATTCGGACATAGGAGACCAGATTTGCCATCATTCCATGTCCTTCTATGTGCCTGTATTTTATATTAATTTTTATATCAATGAAAAAAACAAATCCGTGTTACTAAATTCTTAAATTTTTACATGTATCTCACCATAGCAAGTTGGAAGAAGACATATTCTGCCATATATGAAGAGGGGAGACTCTCTGGAATCTGGTAATATAAGAACCATGATGGTGGGACATTCTGTCACTTCACAGCTGTCCAAAACATGTGGTTTGTGCCAGGCGGACATGATTGACAGTATTTTTCATTATTGCAAGAAATTCCATTGACTCATTCACAAGTCAAAAATGTGTTTTATCTGAAAGAAACATGCAATATTTACATCTAAGATAATAGAAAAATAGTCAACCAAGTGCAATGATGTCCTCCAAGATAATATTTGTTTTTCAGTTTCAGTTATATATTGGGGGGACATTTTGGGCACTGGTGGGGGGGCACGTGTCCCCCTCAATGTATATGGTAACTACGGCCCTGTCATGCATGCATAATTAGGCTACAATTGTCTGGGTGCGCAAAGGTGAAGTGGCTGGTCTCGTCATACAAAGTTTGACGAGTGTCAACTGGACAATATGAAGATATTTGCATCTTGAAAGCCGGACTACAAATGTGGATAGACAGGGAGAAACACACGGAAGCCTAAGACGTGGTAAGATACGATATTCCTCACTATATGAAGTGACTGACAACAAGATCTGTGTCATGGGTTGTAAAGAAATTCGTCAGGTTTTTATTTTGTAGACAATTGATCTGTATTTATAGCGTGATGGGATGACAGCACAATGATGTGTGTGGTGTAATAGGAAAGCTCTGGTCCTGCGCTTTCATGTGATATGTGTGGCATTTCTGTGCGAGCCTGCATTCGTGAGTAATCCATCCAAGAATAATGTGTGTGCAAAGCTGTATGAAAGCTTTGTCATACATCATTTTAGGGTAACTTTATCATTTTTTTCGCTGTGAAAACATTTGGAAAGCTACGATTCCGCTGTTTCACGTGATATGCATGGATTCTAGCTATGACGCAAGGTCGCAGAGAAAAACCATAGAGAAGAACAGGTGTGAATTTGGACGCACTATGCGTCGTTCTGGATGGACTCCTTGGCCTGCTGCTGCTGCATTTTCCCAAAAAAACGGGACAAATTGTGTCCCGGGAGAGATTTTTTTTTTCCCGGGACAGCTGATGAAAAAAGAGAACAATTCTGGGAAAAACGGGATGGGTGGCAACTCTAATTATGAGCGTTTTGCAGTGCTAGTGTTAGCATTTAGCACAGCCTCACAGAGCTGCTAGCTAACCTGTAGGTTGTAGACTGTATTGTTAGCCTTACATTATTATCTGCAGTATGCAGGTTTAACTTTTACAATGATTCTTTATATCATAGATAAACAATATCACAAAATGAGTGAAATGAGGAGAAATAGCTTGATGAGAGACAAAACAAATAGAGCTTAAAATGGTTGCTCTTTTTAAAAAAAAATGTATGTAAGAAAACCTCTTTAATAAAAGTTTAAAACTTTCAGCTAAACCATCCAAAATCAAGGGCACTGGGAGAGCACAGACAGGCCATAAAATCATATTAAAAAATTACAACCTGTCTAATGGCAAACCCATGTTGGAGTAATTAAAGATGACAGGGCTGTGAAGCAGGCAAATTTCCCGTGGTGACACTAAAGCTTGTGGGTTGTGTAATCTTTTACAAGACACTGGGGAATGAAACATTAATAAAGAAGTTGAGATCAGGTAACCACATGGCTTCTACAGGAACAGCCTGCTGCACAATTTGATACCTCATGTCCCATTTCCCTTCAGCTGGTAAAATGTAACGGTTAATAACTCCTGGCTGAGGGACGTTTTGTCCTGTCTAGACTTGCAAACATCTAAGTCTAGCCCCTTTGTTAAAGAGTAAGATCTTTTTTGTTTAACCAGAAACAGTCCTGAAATCATGTTTGGCAAACCCACCAGACTCCATTTAAAAGAACGGTAATTTTGGCGTGTATAGCGGCAGCATGTTTTCACATCTAACTGGGGGAATTAAGGGTTTATTTCAACCAAACAAGAGCTGGTGATTGTTGGAACAGTGGAAAGACCAAGCAAGCCATCTTTTTTGAGTTTTATTTTGTTTCTGTCGACACTGAATGAATTGTGTTTAATGATGGTTAAATTAGTGTTTATTTAAATGGAGTCTGGTGAAGTTGGTGATAGTGAATTCAGGGCTGTTTCAGGTCAAATAAAAAGGATCTTACTCTTGAATGAAAAGGTTGATCTCTGTAGAAATGCTGTCAGACACGTATAGAAACAACCTGAGGCTGGCTGAAAAATATTGATGATGATGATTACTTTATTTCTGTGGTCCAATTTCTCATTTTTATCAAACCAAAATTTAAGATTTTTGCCCTGTATTCTTACAAAGGTGCATGGAGGTTATCACATACAGTATGATTGTGCACTCAGAGCACACCTGAGACGGTCACAGAGCTTGTCGAAGCAAGCATTGCTAGGTCCTGCTAAACCAAGCCCATTGGGGTTGAACCCTGTGTTTTTAGGGAGTCCGGTTTGTTAATGCAGTAGCTGACAGGAAATAAACAGGCCCCAATGCTGTTCCCTGAGGATCAGAATAGCAATGAAAACATCCTGGCCAATCCTGGCTTGTAGATGTGGCTAGTGGGGGTGAGGGACAATTGGGACAAGGTTGCACATTTTGCTCCTTTGTCTAGATTTTGTTTACTTGTTTACAATAAAAATAAAAAAATAATTCCCTATAAGAATAACAAATGGGTAAATTTGCATCCACAACCAATTTCAGATCCCCGGGTCTTCACAGTGAACCTGACAGATTTCAAGCTTGTTGTCGGTTACCTGAAGTGTTTCCCAGAGATTGAGTGCAGTTCTTCTGCCACAGCACAGTAGATGCTGGTTTGTGCTCCTTCCCGAGGTGTTTTTAAGAACATGGAGAAGACGGTGAAAAATATTGTCATGAGGGTCGAATGTCTGGTCAGATCAGAGTTCACTGTTCCTGGGTGGACTGAATTCACTGTCACGTTGGTATCTGTGAGGACAACAGACGTTAATCACTATGGGCGACATTTTTTCTTCTATCTAATCTGCAGTATCAGTCTGACTATTAGAAAACACTGTTGCTTTTAATAAACTGCCTGAAACTTGAGCTCAAGTGAAGTGCCTTTTTGCTTACTCTTATTTTTCTTCAAGATAATTTAATTCCATTTTCATTACCTGACATTTTAGGCAAAAAGATGTTTTCTTCTGATGAATTTGAAATGTTATTATTTCCTGTATCAAAAGACTTCTACTAACAGAATGTGTTATCGATAATAAAAAAAGATCATTTGGGAGAAGTATTCCTTTAATACAAGTTGTTGTTGGTTTCACACCTGCTCTAATCACTAGTCCTGTCTCTGTTACTACTCTGTTTGCCAAAGCAAAGCAAGTCATCTGTCCATTCTCCCATGTTTCATGTGTTTGATTATATGCATGTGTGTTTGTGTACCTTTGAGTCTACGCGCCAACTCTCTGGCAAAGAGCACATTTGCCAGTTTGCTTTGGCAGTACGCTAATCCGCTGTTGTAGCTTCCCTGGCTGTGAAGATCATGGAAACGGATCCAGCCGAAGTTGTGAGCAAGAGATGAGACCACCACGATCCGGGCCGGCGCACTGCGCTTCAGCAGCCCGATCAGGAGGGACGTCAACAGGAAGTGCCCTGCCACAAGTAAGAAACACATACAGTCAGTGCTAAACACACACACACACACAGTCTGTATTGTTATTATTAAATTAATTATTATTGACGCTGTCATCCAAGGATGTATGAGAAGTATTAACCTCTAACTCATTTTATCTTGCATTTTATAGTTATTATATTGTATTTTCACATTTACCATATAAATGGATATTTGGATAGTTGGTTACAGTAAGTAGCTTTAGACAGATGTGAGTGACAAGTGATGATGGTGTTTAAAACACCACTGAAGAAACTGTAAATTAGATCTTTTAAGAGACTGTCAGGATCCAAAATCCCGTTTAAGGGATAGTTTGGATCTTTTAAAGTGGGGTTGTATGGGGCACTTATCCATAGTAAGTGTGATATAGAGTAGAAGGTGGTCGGCATACCCCCAGTTTAGAGAAGCAGGCTGGAGTACCAACGTGGAAGCTAGGCAATGTACTGTACTGCTGTGGACGGGGGCAACAGCAATACATATTTAGCCACCTAATAAAAGTCCCACCTTAAAATCAATATTAGCTCAAGTGTACGCTATGTTTAGAATATTTTCATCGCTTTACATTGCGGTCAAACAGCGAGGAACTGGAGCTGTTATATCGCTCTATTCAAAGCCAGACTTCATTGAGAAAAAACATAATTTTACATTGCTGAACACAGGAGCTGCTGGTCTACCACTACCTCGATCAGTTGGTTAGTTTGTGTTATTGCGTGACATTGGCATTTAAAAAAGTTAGTACAGACTGACCAAAGTCAGACAATAGCACAAATGAACTAACTAATCGAGGCAGTAGTAGACCAGCAGCTCCTGTGTTCAACGAACCAAATTACTATTTTTCTCAATGGAGTCTGGTGGCTTTGACGGTAGTATATGTTACCTCAATCAGTGACCGTAGTTCGGAACAAACTGGCTTATTAACATTAATTTTAGCTTGGCTTGTTATTAGCTGGTAACTCGCTTCTTGCGGTGCGGACCACTCTGCGGAAGGAAGGATGGTGAGGCGTTCAAGTGCTGTTCACCAGCAGCTTCCGTGGCAGTACTCCTGCCTGCTTCTTCATAACAGGGGCGTGCCGACAGACATCTACTGCAGGTAAAACACCGACTATGGATAAGTACCTTGTACAACCCCAACACCCATTATGCTTCTGAAATGTGTGAACTACAGGCGGGAAGACTATTATGTTCCCAACTCATCTACTGTGTGTCCCTGCATGTAAATAAAATATTAGGATCCTTAACATCAATCATTTTTGCTTGAGTAGGGCTGATTAATTGTGCATGAAATATTCTGATGCAATAGATGGATCAGTCAGTTACTCCATCATGTTTTCAGTCCTGTTAATTGATTCAAGTAAATTTCGCCGCAGTCCTACCCAAGTGATTGACTCCAATGTGCATCTCAAAGCCATCAATTGTTTTTGTGTACGGGCACATCATCACCCCAGCGTTGTTGATGAGGATATGAAGATGGTTAACCTCTGAAGGAGAGAAAATCACAACAAAAGGAACATGTCAGCTGCGGAAACTGTTAGATAACAGCAAAGCAGGGTTCTGTGAGTAGATGTGACTCTGTGCTTACCTCTCAGGAACTTCTGTGCGAAGGCTCGTATAGAGCAGGTGTCCGCCAAGTCAAGCTCTCGAACCTCTACTTGTGCGTTAGAGTACGCAGCTCGTATACTGGCCGCCGCCTCTTCTCCTTTGTCCACGTCTCTGCATGCCATGATCACCCGAGCCCCTGTCATGTGAAAAATAAGCAGCAGCTAAACTATGAACAAAACAGAAACTACATTAATTAACAGAACAGAAGATAGAGGGTGTGTCTGTTGGCTTGTGGTGAGTGGAGCCATTTATAAAAGGAGGTTTCTTCTTATGTCACTCCTCAAGCAAAACACTTTCGTCATAACACAACAACGTCAACCAAAGATCATAAACTCTAATATCTGAATTGAGTTTTAAGCTTTAAAAATAAAAGCTTTAAAGGACCAGTGTGTAGGACTTAGTGGCATCTAGCGGTGAGGTTGGAGATTACAACCAACTGAATATCCCTCCCTTTTTAAGCGTGTAGCAGAACCTCCAGTGGCCTTCAGGTAACATAAGAAATGCAATAGATCTCCTCTAGAGCCAGTGTTTGGTTTGATCGTCCTGGACGATTGCAGAACAGCCCAGTCACCAGAAGATATATTGGCATAGAGTGTTCCAGGGATAACGTTTTTTGGTAGGCAGACGCAACGGTTAGCATCGCACTGGTTCTCTCATCAAAAAGCCTGTGGGATTTGTCCCATTGGATTTTGGATTATTGACGAAAATAAGCTCTGTGGCAAACAGATGTTTATGATACTTACACGTTTTGTTCAGCAAGATAATCTTCACAAATTAACATAATTTTCATGATTATTACAATCGCCAGAAGTCAGTTGCAAACGTTAGGCTATTAACAAACTACACTACGGTCGCATGGTTTAACGTCGCCTCCACAGCACAGCTGTAAAGCCATGTTCGGTGTGATGACATTCTGTAGTCTCATTTAGCAACTTGTTAACAACAACCCTTCTTAAGACACATAAAAGCTGTAAAATAAACGAGAGGGGCATTTACTGACATATTTCATGTCATAAAACAAAACATGAAAGTCTCTTAAGCTTGTGTTGACCACAGACCTTAAGTCAGGCATCTAATGAAAAACCCACTGACTTCAAGATGAGGGCACCAGAGTGGTGAAATGCTAATTCATGTCTGGGTTTTAGGACTCATTCCTGGGGCACCCTACTGTACATTTCTGCAAACATTGGTGTAGCGACTGCAGGAAACAAACTCAAAGTCACTGAGGAGCTGAGGCTGGGCCTGGTTTACTTGTCTGACACATCAACAAAAGAATTGCTGAGATCCAAAAAATACATTAAATAAATGTATTAATGCAAAGGAATCAACTTATTATAACATGCACAAACTTATAATCAAAAATGATCACAGCGAACAAAGAAAAGTGCGGTCAACAAAAAATACGGCACCCTCTCTCTCCAGCAAAAAAAAATAATAATAATACAGCTGATATAGATTACAAGTATCAATGTCCATATCCATGTCCCTATGCTAAGACATCTAACAATACAAAAATATAAACCATCCCAAAACGTATTAATCCTACAAATCTTACAAAATCCACTCTTTCTAAATTAATTCATGGCTCTTACAGTCAGCCCAGCAAGCAATAGTCGTGATTTAAACATATTGGCTATATTTAGCTCTAATTTAGTCTAGCTACATGTAACCCAAATCTCTCCACTTTGTGCATGTATAGGTCCTGTTTGTGCATGTGTGTGTCTTTCAGACCTGTGTGTAATTGACAAGCAAGAGTGAAAACATTGAATTTCCCCTCAGGGGGATTAATAAAGTGAATAAACTTAAACCTAAACTTATCTCTGCAGTGATGTAGTTCAGACTGCATGTATATATGAGCTGACTTTGTCATACAGAGGTAGAGGGGGGCGGTATGAAGCCTGGCTGCAAACTACTGCTCAAGACTAACAAACAACAAGACAAGGTGGTTTTAGCAAGAAATTTCCAGAGATGGTTGTGTCAACAAAACCAGGTATTTTAAGCCACAACATGATCTTTTCCTAACCGTAACCAAGTAACCAAGCCTGTCCGACCAAACATGTCCGCTGCAAAATAATGTATGAATGTCACATACCCATAGTTTGCAAAAATGTACAGCGCCAACATTTATTCTAGCAAGTGGGTTGTGTAGAAACATGGCAATGCAACATGGCAGGCTCTTCCTTATGAACTGCTGTGTCTTAGCATTTTTTTTCCTGTTCATTTGGCTTGGGCGCTGCACCCAAGTCGCATAATGGTCATGAAAACCCTGCTGTTTATTCTGGCATCATGTTGGCTAAAATATTAGTAACATTTTTATGTAAACAAACATACATGTAAACACAAGGAGTAATATTTGACGATATATGCATGTGACCTTGATCATTTCTGCTGACCTTAATAAGTTGATAACATAATCATATCAGGCCGATCATGGAGCCCAACTCTCCTCCCATCCACTATCCCAACCAGTCTGTGCATTAGGTTTTGGCAAATATAACACATTTATGTGCTGCTTGTAATGACGAGCCAAAGTCATTCAAGTTGTCATTAATGGCAATTTCTTATATTTCCCAATGACCAATATTACACAGAATAAAAGGCTGAATCAGTGCAGTTTCCGCTACTATGAGTTAATAATGTGAGGACAAGTCAGTGGAATGATTCACTTCAGATTTTATCTAAATGAATATGATGAGGGGGGAAAATCAGTCTACATTCTGCATGTCTTCTGCAAGTCTTTCAGTCCATCTTTTATACAAAAAAATATAAATGTATGTATTATGATATGGGATAGAAGAATACTCTTTAACTTACTTAGTTCAATCTTATTTTATTCAGACTACTGTTGTCTGTTGTCAGTGATAATGGTTGTAAACTGGCGCTGTGCTGTATGGTTAAATGTAAAACCAAAGAGTCACCTCGCACTGCCAGGTCCAGGGCAGTCTCCTTCCCGATCCCTGTATTGGCCCCTGTGATGAGGACTGTCTTCCCCTCCAGACTAGCTGAGGACATGCACACTCCTCCTGCTGCATATTTCCTGTTAATACACAGTGGCCACTGATTAACACTGAACCACAGCAGACAGAAGCCCCCTCTGCTCCAGCACAGCTAAGCCATGTCCTCATTAGGACATATGGACAGCATGGCTTAATTATTCATAGAGAAACTTGGACAATGAGCTGAACTGGGCGTCAAGTCGTACGACCCACGCCACAGAGCAGGGCCGCCCCATAACCAATGGCTCTGTTGGAGTAATGCATACCAATATAACTCCTCCTACGCTCAGGCTGCTGATAGGCCCGAGCTGCTCAGATGGAAGAGTCCAGGTTCATCTCTGTGCTAAAACTCCCACAGCTCCATCATTTTGTTTCATTGATTTTCTGCTTAAAATGTCAGTCAGCGTCGCGTGGAATAAAATGTGATGGGGACAGAAACGCCTTTAAAATGACGATCAGCTGTGTTCAGATGCTGCACAGTGTTTTATATAATGCCACTGAACCTCATCGTAATAATTACATCAGTGCAATGTAATGCCCTGTCAACCAAGTAACAACCAACCCGTGATGTGTGAGACACTGGGATTACATGAGAATGAATGAGAGCCATAATTGCAGCCTTACCTTATGTGAGGTGCAAATAAAATCACCAGTACCGTCCCCACTCCGAGACCCGCGGCGATTATTAGCAGCAACATAATATCACGGATGTGCGCCTTTCTGTCTCCTCAAGCAGGACGCCACTGCTCCGTAGGCAGAACAGCTGATGTCAAAGCATAAAGGGGTGCAGAGCGTAGCAGGGGTGAAAGAGACACCGCGAACGGCATCATGGGATTGTAGTTTTACAGCCTGGCAACAGAAATACTGAAGGTTAGTGGACATCTTTAATATTTTACATCAGGATTACAACTATGCTTTTATTAACCAGCTGGTTTTAAAACGTAAATTATCATTAGAATAATTTAATTTATTTGTATAATAGGGTATAAACAGTTTTAGGGAATCAGATTTATTTAATTTATCATATGCTGACAGATTAACAAAAGCAGATTTAATGTTTGCAATTTTGTCTTTTAATATGAACTTGTATATATTATATATAAGTTGCATTTATAATTATTTTTTGTACATAGGTGATTGTCTGTTTTTGTGTGGTATGCTATGGACCTTTCTGTGTGTCCTTAATAAAGTCATTATTATTATTATTATTATTACTATGTTACAACTTCTTTTTTTTCTCCAGGAACCTTATTTGACTTTCTAATATAATTTTTTTAGGTACAATAACTTGTCAAACTATCATTATGTATATTTATTTGTTTTTATCGCTTTGTTTAACCACTTTATTTCTCATGCCTACTCTAATTCTGTTGTTTTATTATTCTACTGATTGTAGTTAAATTTTCACACTTACAGCCTCAGTACAGTGACGATATATATTTTATTTTATTTTACTGTTTTGAAAACTGCTATAAATGATTACTAATGTTATTTTTATTATTATTATTATCATCGTTATCAAAACAGGATAAATATAAGAGATAAAACAATCAAACAAAAGCAAGGGTACAATAAAAATAAACGAAAATAAACAACTACATACATATTTGAATGGTTAAATAAAATTACGTAAAATTATTTTACAAGGAGTAAAAATTAAGTTTCCATTTTAATAAATAACTAAAATTAATTGTTGTACTGTACATTTTTATAGTAAGAAGCAGTAGTATTGTTTTAAACTACATTTCCCAGAAGGCACCGTGAAAGCTGTCTGCGTAGTGCCTGACTAAAATTGTTATCGTGGTGCTTTTTAAATCTTTTGAACGAGATTTTGGAGCATTTTCCTCATTTTCTTTATTATTTAGAGTGTAATATTGAACCTGTTTATTTTTTGTTCGAAAAAAATATACTAAATCATGCCTGTGTTTTATTTTTGTTCGGGGGTTTTAGGCACTGGAGGACGGGATCATGAGAGGCATCATGCGGAAGTCCCGAGGACCTGATTATCATCAAAGCAAAACTAGAAGCTGAACTTACGGTCGTGACTGTTACTGTAGTTTTATTTTACCAAAAAAGACGAAGTAGATAAAATACAGTTACTGCAAACATGTCGTCAGAGGAATTCGAGAAGTTGCACGAAATCTACAAATCACTGTATGAGGAGCTGAAGCTGATGCCGGAGAGAGCCGGGAAATGTCACGGAGGTAAAAGGTTAATGTTGTTGTTTTACTAGCTAATGTTAACGTTAGCTAACTGTGTGACAGACTCATGAGAAAGGTGTTTTATGTGTCGTAAAATTGCCCCTTTGTTGTGTTTACAGAGGAGAGGAAGAGGTTGGTGAGGACTTTCGATGAGAGACAGGGAGAAGCTGAGGAAGTGGTGAGCTGCTCTCCTGTTTATTTGTTTAGGAAGTGTTAACTGCCAGCTGCGCACTTTAATAAGACCTTTTATAGTCTCTGCCATTACACAGGTAAACGGCTTGGTGCAATAAAGGCCTGCTTTTACTCATATCTATTTACGTACAGTGTTGGCACACATTTCTTGTTAGTTGTGACTTACTAATATTCCCCACTTTATTTGTGTTATGTATAGTCTTAGTAATTTATTCAAGCACTGTACTTAAGTACAAATTTGAGGTACTTGTCCAGTTCAGAGGGAAATACTGCACTTTTTACTCCACTGCAATTATTTGACATCTTTAGTTACTAATTAGTTTACAGATTAAGATTTTTACACATGACTCTAAGAAAGAGACTCTTTGTAGAATAATAAGTTACTTACTACACTAGTACTATTGTGTTACTTTCAGCAAATCACCCCAGAAGAACTAATAGGCATTTTAATGGATAAGGGTCATGTTGTTTCACAGCAGATAATCAAAGCACAGCAGCTCCAGGTTGTTACAGTTCATTTCAAATCCAGTGCTGCACAGGTGTGACCCATTCATGTACTCACATACAGTGGTTACCACTTTGTATTTACATGAGAAAAAATGATATAGAATAATTAAATAGCCTAGACCTTTTAAAATAAATGATTGACGTAATTACAAGTGCAAATTGCAACACCGGAGCTGGACGATGCACCTGCTGGATCCCGGTGTGCCGGTCAGCTACAGCAGCACTGCAGAGAGGGTTATGTATAAGAATGGGACTGTGTGCCGGCGTTGCTCTGCAGTTGTAGGAGATGTGATTGGAAACACATCCAACATACACCAACATCACCCAGGCCAGATTTGGTGATCATCGGGACGAGGAAAAAATTAACCAGAGGCCAGCTCCTTATCCCCGCTGCTTTCATGCAGACTTAGGACGCAGAAGCAGAACGGGATACGTTGTAGACGTTACATCAGTGGAAACATACTGAACATGATAAGGCACAGTACGACATGACCCAGCTAGGCTGATCACCGGCACCCTTCTACAATGTAGTCTGTAGTGACCATGGACTGTATGAATAAGGTTGTTAAGGGGATGTTTTTTTTCTTGTAGTGCACTGACGGAGGTGGAGACAGTGTTACATGACACTGTAAATGTAATAATATTACCCCAAATTTTGTTGTAACATATTATATTACTTTGTTATTGCTAAAACAACTGTATATATTACAAAAGTAATGCGTTACTCCCAACACTGCCGTTAATGTATCTATTAAAGGCAGTGTATTAAAGACCTTTCCCTGGTATTACACTATTTTCTTATCTGTGTCCAGTTACAAGGAATGGAAGAAGAGCTACGTGCTGCCCCTTCCTCCTTCAGAAATGCAATGAGTACAAAGGTGCGCATGTACCACCGGGATTTGGGCAAGCTGCAGAGGGACATGAAAACCTCTGCTCCAGGCTTTGGTTCCTCCTCTCAGACAGCGGACAGAAGTCATCTTGGCATCTATTCATCACAAAACCAACAGAGTGTGAGTGTTGACTTTGATTTGTTAAAAATCCTGCTTGTGCACAGTGTCATCTCATTATGAGAGTGATCAACAGTTACAAGGAAGTTTAAAAGCAGGAAGTGTTTCAGGTCTCTAAAATAAAAGTGGAAAATCTTGCTTTGGCTCTCAGTCTCAGAATGAAAGTAAGAAGCTTTCATGTCTTTCCAGCTCTTTGTTAAGACAAATTCTTAGGAAATGCAGGAAGTTAATAAAATGATGATGTATAAGTGAATGAAAAAGTTGGAGGAAAAGTTGATGTACTTACTTTACTGCGAAATAAACCCTGGAATGTATTCAACAAAACTACTTGATATCTAAAGGAGTAAAAGTATCTGAGAATGGAGTTTTATTTTCTTGCTCTTCTGTCACTGTTAGTGTTATTCATCCTGGTTAATATTTTTGTCCACCTATACAGACACACCTTCAGTCCCAGAGAGCCTTGCTTCTTCAGGGCACAGACTCTTTGAACAATGCCAGCCAGAGTATTGAGCGAAGTCAGCGCATCGCCGCAGAGACGGATCAGATCGGCACAGATATCATTGAGGAACTGGGAGAGCAGAGGGAGCAGCTGGACCGCACCAGAAACAGAGTGAGATATGATTTGTTAATATGATACTGTACAGGATGAGACTGTGATGCTGCATTTGTTTTAATCTACTGAGGGTTGATACTGTGTGTTAGATATTTTAGTTTGATTCAGTCGATTTAGTTTCTTAAATTTTCTAAGATTTTCTAAAGTAGTCCAACATTTATAAGTAGTTTAGGGCCAAAACAGGTGGTACAGCTCAGGTTTGGGTCAGTATGATTTATTCAATTGAATTTTTTATAATGAAAAATAAATGAAAGACTAAAAATAAATAAAAATACTATTAGTTGTTGTCAGACAGTGATTTTTATATGTATATTCTGTCTTTTGTTTAATTTCTAGTTGACGAATACTGGAGAGAACCTTAGTCGAAGTAGAAAAATTCTTCGTGCCATGTCACGGCGGTAAGTGCTACGAGATTATACATTTGATATAAGTAATCTTGAGTTTTTTTGTAATTGATGAGCAAAATGTCTGTTTTTTAAGTTTGTTTTATTCTCTGTTCTTTTGTATTCCTGTCAAGAGACAACAGGAGCTCAGTTTGAGTGATAGTATACAGAATTAAACTCCTGTGTACATTAACAAGGCAAAATGGTCCACACTGATAATACTAAAACATAATTTGATAAAAAGAAATCTGATTGGCTGATTAATGTTTTTCTGAATAACATACAGATGATATTAAGGCTGCAACTGATCTTTAGATTCTGCACATGTATGCAGACATACATTGCCCTCAGGTGACCCAAGAGTCATACCACCATCGTAAACTCTAGATTCAGCTATGTTTTTACACTCAATACTAATTTTATATGACTGTCTAAACTAGACTGAATCTAATGATGATTACTTTGACAGTCTATTAGGAGGTGAGCTAAATGCATTTTATTCTATTATTTTGATATGTAGGCTTTTCAAAATGAGATATTTTCTCAAGAACGCTATCTTAGAGAAAATCTAGCTTGTGCATATGTATGCAGAATCTGTAGGTGATGGGACAAGATTTGATAAACTGAAGTGTTCTGGTTTTGTTTGTTGTCCAGTTGTAGTCTGAGTAGTATTGATTTAACAAGTTTTAACAGTAGGTAAACAGTGGATCGGCTGAAATACAATCTCGAAACCCATCGGCCATAGTCTGACGACGAGTTAGCTTCTATTAACTAATATATCTTCATTCACATGCAGATATCTGTTCATAAAGATTAGCCGAAATGACTGTCGCACAGAAGAGTAAGTTTTAGTAGTTGGGATATCCGCTGGCTACACAGGAAGCCCCTGAAATATTGGCCCTTGCCTCCAGAGGCAATATCATCGTCAGACTATAGTGATGAGTTCCAAGATTGATTTTTTACTATCAAGGCAATAATTTTCCTAATTAACTGGTAATAGTTTAATCTGCGAAATGTCAGTAAAGGTTTCAGTAAAGTGAAAAATAGCGCAGCAGGAGACATCTTCATTCATCTTCTAACCGCTTCATCCTCTTGAGGGTCGCGGGGGGGCTGGAGCCTATCCCAAATGACATCAGGCGAGAGGCAGGGTACACCCTGGACAGGTCGCCAGACTATCGCAGGGCTGACACATAGAGACAAACAACCATTCACGCTCACATTCACACCTACGGACAATTTAAATCAAATCAAATCAACTTTATTTATATGGCACTTTTCATACAACAGTAACACAAAGTGCCTCACAGAGGTTAAAAACAACAAAGATCCAAACAGAAAACAAAAAGAAAAGAGAAAACCCAACCCTCCCACCCAACAAAAAGCTGTTTAGCTCATAAAATTGAGTTAGTAGCTAGGTAAGAATGATCTAAAACAGAGACATAAAATGCATCAAAACTAAAACCTATAGGCTAACTAAAATAACAAAAGATAAAGGTTAAATGAGATAAGAACGTAAAAAGAGGAAGGGTAAGAATATAAAAAATAAATAAAAAATAGATAATAGATGGATAAATCAGTTATAAGAGGAATTTAAAATAGATAAATAAAGAGATCAGTTAAAAGCCTGATTAAAAAGATGAGTCTTTTTTTAGAGTTATCAATTAACCTAGTCCCCAGTCTGCATGTCTTTGGACTGTGGGAGGAAGCCGGAGTGCCCGGAGAGAACCCACGCTGACACGGGGAGAACATGCAAACTCCACATAGAAGGGCTCCCACACCAGGGATCGAACAACAACCCTCTTGCTGTGAGGCGACAGTGCTAACCACCATACCACCGTGCCACCTAGGAGACATCTTCAGATGTCTTATTTCTTTTTCTTTTTTTTTTTGCCAACAAAAAGTACAAACCTAATAAAATTCATCAACAATCATGAATGACAGAGAAAAGCGTAAAATCCTCACGTGAGAAGCTTAAACTCGTATTTTTTTTCCTTAAATGTCTAAAATATGTATTCACTTATCAGAACAGTTGCTGATAGGTTTCTGCTGATCGAGTAATTGATTAATCACCTAATTGTTGCAGCTCTATTGGTGATGTGTTTCACACAACATCAATCAGTGTGTGTAAAATTGTATTATTTAGTTTATCAGTAATCCACCAATGTTGTATCAGATTTCTTTTGGTAGTTTACTATATTTTACATAAATGTGATAAAATCCTTTCATGTCAAGATTTTCCTGGTCGCCCTGGTAGTTCACCTGGTAGAGTGTGCACCCCTTATACTAAAGGCCGAGTCCTTTGCAGCAGCACAGGCTCATTTCTGATCTGCAGCCCTTTGCTGAATATCATCACCTCTCTTCCTTCATAGTTCATTTATTTATTTTAGAGCTGTCACACGATTAAAAAAATGAATCTTATTAAGTACATGCTCAGATTAATTAATCACATACATCAATTTTTGCTGTGAAAGTATTTAAAAAATTTCAGTTCAAATTAATTTTGGCAGATGTGTCGTAGTAAAGCTGCTGGAGTTTGGACACAATTGTCCTCTACCACCACACACAGCGGCTCTGGGCGTGACCATTTATTGGTTATTGTCAGCACGCACAAGGTGTGAAAGAGATAGACTCCCTGATCAGTCAGTCCTTATCCAAGCACTTGCATTGCAAAATGGGCAAGAAGTAAGTTTAAAGGTAGGGTCTGGAGGATTTTCCAGTTGCTGTTTGTAAATACACATTCAAATTCGGCCCCTCCTATCAGGCTCAACTCTCCCGGGTGTACGGAGCCCGGAGGTACGGAAGAAGGCTTCACAGAAGAGGTTCAGGCAAGGCTCGCGCTGGTGCACGCTCGGACATGCTCGGGCACGGCACCTGCGCTCTCTCATTGGCTGGGGAAATCTCCGCCCAGAAGCGAGCCGAGCTCACAGAAACATCAAAATACAGTTAAAGGGCAGGAGCTCTGCAAACAGAGTCACCACCACACATGAGTAGAAGCCCATAGGTGATGATTAAGCAGGATTTCATTTGTATATGTCTATATTTTGTTTTGTTTGAAAATCCTCCAGATTCTACCTTTAAAATAATGAATTTACTGTGTTTTTACCATATGCATGTTTTTTCTAAACAAGCATCAAAAGTGCTATAAGTGATATAGTGATATCTCTCTTTTATATATAACACTTCCGGTGTTCCGAGGGCAACCCCTGTATTTGACGTCACAACGCTATGAACTGTAGGTAATTTCCTTACCGTAAGTCCGCATCGATGCTGACCTACGGTAAGGGGGCATAAAGGGCTCACTCACTGACTCACTGACTCACTGACTTGACGATTTGACAATGGGACAGCCCTCACACACTCACACACTTCACATGAACGCGCCTCTAAGTCAGTGAGTCTGTAAGGGATCAGATTGGAATTGGGCCTTAGTTAGTCGGTCACAGGTAGACTTACTCAGTTCACATGTGAACACCTGGTTGAGTGTGGCTTGATGAAACTGGCTGCTAGCGCTAGCATCAGAGGCTGTGCTAGCTTGGACCACCGGGTTCACTGCTAAAACGAAAATTCCCCACTGCAGAAATCGCAGAGGATGGTACTCCTATCAGTAGTTCCATTTGGGTGTTTTGTTAAATGTAAATGTTCCATTCACGGGGCCGAGCAGTGTCGTCTCGTCTGCCTTCATCATGTGACAAAGCCACTGTGGCCTGCAATAACACACAGGGTCAAAGGGCTCCATGGAATGCGATTAATCAGTGTTAGTTTTTTAAAGCCATTATTTTTTCTGTGATTATTTAATTGAAATTAACGCGTTATTTTGACAGCCCTAATTTATTTCTTTATGAAACATGATGGGTGTCTTCTGTAAATGCTTGTGAAACAATGATGAGCCTCAGTTAATCGTTGACTTTCTTCTTTATTGTCTTTTAGGCTGGTGACGAACAAGTTGCTGTTAGGTATCATCATCATAATGGAGCTGGCCATTCTAGGTGCAGTGGTTTATCTGAAGTTCTTCCGATGATGAGCAAACTACACCGTCTAAAAACATTCTAAGCTTTGGATCCAGGGCAAACCCAGACTCTATACATCTGTCTCCACTGACTATCCAGTAGCAATAATGCTCCTCTGCTGTATCCAGCCAACTGTTTCTGTGAGTGCAAATAAGGACAATGGGATGATTCAGTCTTAAGGGGAACCTTCACTAAGAGGGGATTCTGTCCATCGGCAGGTGGAGTTCATCTGACAAGGATGTCGAATTGTTAAACCTGCTAATGGACCAAACCTTCAGAAACTCTGTGGACAAACTGTGACCTGAAATTTGCACTTTCTTTTATCAGACTGTTATTATTACTGATTCCCTGCAGGATGATTTTCTGGACTTGTGTTCTGGCTGCTACAGACTCCAGAGATGATGTAGGATTTATTCAAGCCTGAGTACGATCGACTTACTCCCACGTGTAGATTCTGTGGTGACTGTACTTTTGAGATGTTACTGATAGCAGTACTGGGACATTTATAACTGATCAGATTAGAATATTTTAGCTCAAAACAATTGTGTTGTGCCATCGTCTGTATAATACTCAGCAACAGTATTTGATAAAATGGCACCAGTCTGATCTGTTTTATCCAAGTGATTGTACTGACCTAATTTTTTGAAGACCTGAGGCCAAATTTGTCGGTCAAATATGTGAATGAAAAGTGGGTGTAAACTCTTAATACATGCAATGATCTTAACAGTTAATAATAATGTCTAATCACTGTATAATACAAATGATCACTGTTAGAAATAGGCTTCAGTATTCCTCATTTGACAGTCTCTTCATCATTAAAGCTAATCTTTAACCCCAGTTTGCATCTGATATTTCCAGGAACGGCAGGCAAACAAGCCAGAGTTAAATAAAACATCCGCTGTGGAGCTGACGTCACTGAAATTTGTTACAGGCTGAAGCTCCAGAACAGGTCAGGTTAGTGCTGGGTAAACAGCATCTGTTACTATGGAATTCATTCTCATATAATAGGTGATAAGGTTGTTTTCAGTGCTGTGTTCTTGAAGTGGCACATCTGCCGCAGTGCCGCAGTGTTTTTCTTCCGCACAGATATCATGTGTTCCTGGTGTGATGTCAAGTACAAAAACATGTTTGGTGACCTGCTTGTGTGGCTCAGGTGGAGAGTGGGGGTTGGGCTGGAGGGTTTTTGCTTATAACTAAAATATTGCTTCACGTTCTTTTATGCAACTAATCATTAATGTAAATATAACACCAGCAATACTGATAAAAGTTTTAAAGTAGTTCAGACTTTTTTTTTTCATGCTGGCTCTACAGATGGCATTGTCGGTTGATCCACCATTATGTCCAGTCTGAAATATCTCAACAACTATTAAATGGATCGACATAGCATTTGTACAGATGTTTACATTCCCAGAGGATAAATCCTAATGACTCAAGTGATCCCCTTGCTTTTAGCCAGTTTAGTTTATTTTGGTTATTTTTAACTTAAACACAGGGTTCCTGCAGTTACTAAAAAATCTTAAAAGCATTGAATCCGCCAGTCTAAATGTAAGGCTTCAGTTGGTATTAAAATGTCTTTAGTAAGTCTTTCAATAATCATTAAAATGCCAGTCATGGGCAGTAGGATTTTATGAATTCTTTTATCTGACATTGCATTGTAAAATCTCATAACTTACCCATTAATAATATTTTTTTTAATCCATCTTTTAATTCCCTTTTAGATCTGTTCCCCAAATTTACTCCTTTGACTTTTTTATGTCTTTGTTTTGCATTTGTTCTCATATTTATTTTTATATACATACAAATTCATTTAGTTCACACTGACTCACTCTAAATTTGTACAAAAATTGGAACAACTTGTGGACACAGTCTGGAAGCATCTTATTCTTTATACTTCATTCCTTAATTGTGCAGTTTTAAAGTCCACCAAATCTCTATATTTGAAAGCATGTGAGTTTCTAAATAATGTGTTGGTTGGTTCATGATAATCAGCTTTGTTGATAAGTCTTACAGCACTGTTCTGATGCATAAAAAAATGAATTTGTGATTGTATGAGTTTCCCCAAACCTCCACTCAGTCGTTAATGTATGAATGTATGAATGAACAATACAGTATTTGTAATTAATTCAGCTGGCACCACCATGAGGTTCACATTTGTGGATTATAGTGAAATAACTATTGGATGGATTACCATGAAATTCCCCATATTCCCTTGAAGATGATTTGTAATAACTTTTTTGATTTTTCATCTAGTGCCACCATCCTGTCAAAGTTTAATTTATTCAGCTCTCTGGTTTATGGCCATATACCTGCAGAGCTAATGAGAGTCCCATCAGCTGCTGTTTGCCCTGTCTTTTGTTAGTTACATTAGAATAAATGAGACTAACTGTGAAGAAAATAAGACACCAGTTCACGTGAACGAAAAATGTAATCACATTTATGGAAGACCAAAATATAGACTCCTTGTTACAAGGACAATAGTCAGCCACATCAAGTCAAGCATCTGATCAGTTCAAACTTTAATAAGCAAATAACTGTTTTGTTTTTGCCAGCATTTAAATTAAAGCTGGATATTTTCGGTTCTCAAGCCAAATAACACTGATGTAGTCAGTTATTTATACACACAGTAATTCTACGTTCATTGTGAAAATACAAAAGTAAACTCTAAAGAAAATACAGTAACCACAGCTGGTCCAAAAGTGCAAACACATCCTCACTAATTTTTAGTTACTGGCACAGCCACAAAACTACTGTAAGAGTCCACATCAGACAGTGGACTCCAAACTCCATCAAACTTGGTTTATCATACCTCTGAGGCAGGTTCATTCTCTTGTAAACCAAACGCATAATAAATATGTGGCAGCTGTGTCTCTTAACACATCTTAACTATAACATACAGGAGCAAAATAAGTTAGTATTGCTGTTTCAATGACAAGTATTTCCATCAATACATGTAGTAGTTAACATCATGTCAAAGACGTTTGTCCCTGCATTATTAAAGCTGGGGTAGACAGTTTTCTGGAAAATAAAACAGCAGAATTTGAAAATAGAGTCCTCCTTCTGCAGCGCTCCCCTCTCTGTCCTAAGCCCCTCCCACCAGACAGACACCCATAAGAGTACTAGTCATTCTTTCAATCATCTCGATTGTGATTGTCATCCTGATGTTGTTAGAAGGCAGCAACTCCACAAGAGATATCATCCTGTTTTCCTTGCAAACGCGTGGGCCCGCAGAGCCCTTTGGGGTGACATCGTGGATGTATAAAAATAACTGGATACAGGTAGGGCCCCAGTTATTCTTTTGAAAGTTGCACGGTGGCGAATGAAGCCAAGAAAGTTTAATTTCTGCGTTATGAAATTACTTGGATCTTCCTTATCATAGGGCCCAGAGAACAAGCGCACTACAGACTAAGGGCAGGCAAGCAGCTAACTTGCTGGTTTAGCCCTCTGCTAACTTGGGGATAAAAAAGATTTAATTGTGCGGCTCTTCTATACTTTCGAGATGTTATCAGATGGAATGGATCAAATTCAGATAGTGGAAAGAGACATTTCGTGTCTCTTTTTCGTCTCTTTCACAATTGAAGTCCATGGAAAAAAGTATTTTTGGGCCACTTGACATCACGTGACGAACGTTGTAATTCCATGTTTGGCTACTATGTAATATTGGTGTCAAAGCCTGGCGCTGTTCCTGGGGGCCAGGATGACACACTGTGATTCGAGACTCTAGCTAGCTGCATAAACATGAACTTGAATCATCACTTGAATTAGCTACAGCGGTTAGCAACAGGCTTAACTATCAGCAACATTTTCTCTCCATCTCTGAAACGCTTTGCTGATATTGACTTATATTGCTTTTATTGTCAGACTTTTAGACTCTGTTTGATAAGTCTTCCTTTTTTGGGTTCCTTTGTAGTGCGGGCAGTCGTGCCAATGCTGGAATAGCAACTTTCTCTGCAGGATTCTCCGCCAGTGAATCAGGCTTCCACTGAAGGGACGTGCATCTGCATCTGCATCTGCATTTGTAGAACAGCTGATAGGAACGCCCTCTCTCTGACATGACCTGTGATTGGCCAAAACCTCCCATCATTGGGGTAGATTTTCTAAAGCAAAGCCAAGAGGAGATGCAGAAGTCTCTCTCATAACGCTTGAATTGAAATATGCTCTGCCCAGTGATGCAAAAACAAACACTGCCCACCCCGGCATGAAAGTGAACTCTTCTTCTAAATGTTTTTCTTCACTAAACATAACCCTAAAACAGCAAAGAGGTGACAACAAAACCTGCAGCTACCATTAGATTCAGTCTTTACAGTCTTGTATTCAGAATTGTGGAATGCTCAGGGATGACGTGGTAAAGTTCATAGCTTTGCCTCGTGCTCTCAGAGGCGCAGCTGCTCTGTGTCGTCCTTCACGGAGGGAATCTCATCCACAGGTACATGAGCGCCTTCTCTCGTCTGTCCCAGAGACGACGCAATGACGTCGACCGCTAAAGAGGCAGTGGCCTCCACGGCTTCGGGGTTGGCCCCCAGCAGTGGGTTCACTTCCACCATGTCCAAGACCGACAGCAGACCTGCACATCAGCACATTCACAAGTTAGGTGCTAGAATTTAATGCTAAAAGCCCTTTGAGGACATGAGGGTATCTGACACTGTCTATACAGGATGTTCTGAACATGTTTGTAGTCATCTGTACCTGTGTTATGGATTTCCTCTGCGATGTAGATTCCCTCCCTGTAGGTCAAACCTCCGTTCACTGGTGTTCCTGTGGCTGGAGCCAGAGACGGGTCGAATGAGTCGATGTCAAAGCTCAAGTGGATCGGTCGCTGGTTTCTGTTCAAGAAGGTAAGATCGTTAAATGTCAAGAATTTAAGGTTCATTTTAACTCAGACATAAGGAAACATTTGATTTTTATCAAATATACCAAACAAAAAAAGATTTGTAGTGAAAGATAAATATGTTAAACATTATAAAATAATCATATAACCATGTTAACAGAAAGTGAATATCATAATCTCTCAAAGATACCTTGCCAGAAGATGGTCAAGAGTGACTTCCATGACCCTCTGGATGCCTAGTCTGTCGATATCCCTCATGGTGAAGTACTGGATACCCAGGTTCTTCAGGATGTGGCTGTAATGAACAAAGTCAGAAACATCAAGACCTATTTTCACAGCGCTTACATGGAAAATTAAGTTCATATCAGAATGTCATAGCGTGCACTTACTACTCTCCAGGGTCAACGTCCCGCAGCCCGATGTACACCAGGTCCCTCGAGGTTAGGCATGGCTTCATCCAGGAGAACCCTGGGATATCTGGCATCTGAGTGGACAGAGATAGAGTGTAAAGTGGAATAATGCTTAGTTACTGTGGTTAGCTTTCGTAGGGCATTATTTTTCAAATTTTTTGCGTCTCCTTCAGTCTGTGTGTCTTGCTCCTGTGTAGAAGGGTTGAAGGGGGGGCTTAACATGTCTGTGCATGAGCTTAAAAAATCCTCTCACCTTGTCTTGCAGCTCTTTGAGTATGAACGCCACAGGCTGGCCGTGGAGATTTCCTGATGGCGAAGTCATGGGCGTGTTTATGTCTGCATGAGCGTCAACCCAGATGAGACACAGGTCAGGACACTGCCGGGTGTGGCCTCCCACTGATCCAATAGCAAGGCTACGAAATAAGATGACAGTCTCATAAATATCTGGTGTTTGCATCAGTCAGATTCAGAAGCTGAGGGTATTGTTGCATGTGTTAAAGTGATTTATAGTAGCCTTTGGACACCTAAATACTGTATGACTGTATGATTTCAAGGTGGGTTCTGTTCACAGACACCACATTCTGTATTAATAGATTATTAGTTACCTGTGGTCACCTCCCAGCATGACAAGTGTGTGTCCAGCGCCGACAGCTCTGCTCACTGCGCCAGACAGCATCTTGCTTGCCCCACCCACTGAGCGAGGGAACTTTACATCCATGTAGGGTTCGTCCTTCTCAAGGTGGTGGAAGTTGAGATCGCCAAAGTCGTGGACAGAATAGTCTGAGGAACACAACAAGAGGCTGACATCAATTTAAGGAAATTTGGTTGAGTCACTCTCTTGGTGGACAATGACTGATTGTGTAATGGTGCAAAGTTTTACACCAGCACGTCTGACTGTTGCATGGAGGGAACCTGCAACCTTTTGGTTTTGGACACTGCCCTGTTTTGTTTTCATTAAATAATTGCACTCCTAATGACTGCAACGCTGTGTAATCTGTAGCCTCCATAGCATTATTTAACACTCATCTGTCTACCTTGCAGTCTGGGGACGCTGACTCATCATTCAGTGCCTGTGGAACATTCGTGACGGGGCTCTTTCCACTTGTCCTCTTTCCCACGTCAGCTCAAGTTACAGCCTCTGCAGCTCGCCCTCTACTAGGTGGCCACGGAGGTAAAGACTGAAAAATTTCCATTTACTTTAAGCCACACACTGCGAAGTAAACAAGTGATGTGATCCACCATATTGGGGGTTCATCTGGCAATGTGAGCCTTTATGGCAGTGTAGTGTTACTCTGCTGATCTAAGGGGGAACCAGTGTGGTACATTACCCATTGCCATTCGTAGACAGGACAGGAATAGCCCTTATGTTGCTGCAAACATGAGCATGGATTGCAGGACAATTCAAAAACTCTGTTACAGCAGCGGCGGCAGGCTGCAGGTTTTGCTTCTGATTACTGTGAAATGCAAGATTATGGCTGCTGTGTGCACTGTAGTTACATCCTCATTACAGCTGATAAGCAGATGTCTGGGACCAGGTGTGCTCGCATTCCTTGGAAAATGTTACACTGTTACACTCTGGGTTTGTTTAACTGGATGCTTGGTTGAGCTTCTGTTTAACTGGCAGGAACAGGTTCGACTGTTGTGATCGGTCACACACCTAGATTATCCATTGTGTGAGGATGTGTGTAAAGCTGTCAATATCATCAACAATAACCGTCATTTCATATTATATACGGAGAAGGACCAACAATCTGTGGAACTCAGCAGTGATTTTGTGGGTATACTGTGATTCTGTCAAGTGTGGTGTAATGACAGTACATTTATATGTGTGGTATACTCTGTAGTGAGTGTATTTATAGTAACCTTATCATACATATGATAGCTTAGTGTTAAGCTTCTGTGGGGTCAACAGGCAGCCCTCCAATCTTCCAGTACACAGTGACCTCCTCTTAGGTTATTGTATTTTTCCTTTTATTAGTAATTATATTTATGATTATTTTGTAAAATAATTATACAGTAAATTATTCTACCAGGTGCATGATGATGAGGTCGTTTTTTAATTAAAAACTTGAAATTTAAAGACACTACTTTGTACTAACTTGTAATAGACCATCTTTTTAATCAAACACAAAACAGATAAATTATTAAAAGCTACAATAAACCATAGTACAAATATTTGAAGGCATTATGTCTTTGTTGCACCACATAATGTCTTACATCTTGCAACGTATCAGTGTGTCCTCAGTGTGAGACTTAGGGTTGTGTGTTGGCAAGACTCTGGCAATACAATACGTATCATGATGCAGGGGTTACAGTTTACATTCGGAAGAGTCAAAGGCTGAAGACAGATTACAGCCCTGCTATCCTGCCGTCAGAATCCAGAAACAACACAAAGTGAACCAATTTTACACAACGTTATTACAGCTAAAGTGGCACGGTTTTGCTTTGGTTAGCACTGCCACCTCACAGCAAGAGGGTTACTGGTTCAAACCTGGGGTGGGGGAGCCCTTCTGCGATCAGTTAGCATGTTCTCCCTGTGTCAGTGTGGGTTTCCTCCAGATGCTCCAGCTTCCTTCCACAGTCCAAAGACATGCAGGTTAATTTGTGACTCTAAATTGTCCGTAGGTGTGAATGTGAGTGTGAATGGTTGTCTGTCTCTATGTGTCAGCCCTGTGATAGTCTGGTGACCTGTCCAGGGTGCGCCCCCCCCCCAGGACAAGTGGTTACGGAAAATGATTGAATAATAAAACTGAAGTAAAACTAAAACTAGGTGTTAAAAATTTTTTTAGAAATAAAAATAGAGACTAGATTAGACAGACTAACAAACTAAATTGAATAAGAATATACAGGAAGTGTATTTAGATTTATTCTTTGATCATTTGGTCCAATTTGTCACCACAAAAATCTTGAGGAGAGGCATTGTATATTGAGACAGGAATGTCTACGTGAGTCATGTATATGAGTCATGTAATACTTATTCTGAACTTTTAAAATGTTGCCTCTGACAAATACCAGTCATATTACAGTAAAAAAATGAAAACTATTACTAAAAGTAATAAAAACTTAAGTACAACTTTACATTATTAAACAATGAAAACTGAACTGAATTGAGCAGAAAAATTAAAAACAAAGTAAAAATATAAACTAACAAAAAATAGAAAATTATAATAACTCAGCTGTCATGAATCTTTGCATGTAAATTTAAACTATTGATTAATTAAAAAATTAAAAATACTTTTGTTACTGTTATTGTTACTATTTTGTTGTTATAATGACACAGTATCACAAAACATAATATCACGATCTATTTTTTGTTGCACCCCCATCTGTGCCACTACAGATAGACTTGCAGTATCCCAGGCTGACTTTATAGTGACTTTACAGTGTTCCTGTCCTTACTGTTACTGCAACTCATTCCTCCACTGCATCACCAATCTCTTTTGTTATTTTAGGAGGCGTGGTTTTACAGTCACAATACAACCTCATTGGCCTAAGCCTAAAATAAAGAGCGCATTCTTTCCGTGTGAGGTTTCCCATTTCATCCTTCAAAGCAGCACTCCTGTGTCCAACGGGAAACTGCCCGCAGGTGGGTGGAAACGCATAAAAGAGTAATTACAGAGAGAGGGGGGAAAGTCTGTCTGCAGTGACGACACAGTGGAAATACATCAGCCCATCCTCTTCCTCTGTACGCCCTTCCGAGCATGTGCCCCGGACAAGAATGACTAAACCAGACATGTGGCTGAGAAAAGAAAACGCAGACTGTGTTACACGGTGTGTTTCACCATGGTGGTTTATTCTTGCCCATGTATGGCATCGCTTCAGTAGATGCGCCCGCGGGGACTGAATGAAGCTCTTAAGAGTTTGGAGTCGCCATTACTTCATTGTTACAGTATTTCAACCGGGATTTACATAATAATGATTTCAGTTCATGCTGTTCTGCTGCCTGAAAATGCCTAATAAATGGAGATTATGGTTATTTATCCTGTTTAAATACACATCCTGTTAATAATCTATGATGTAGGTGACAGGATTTGATTTAAAGTGGACTAAAGCAGGGATCACTTTGTTCCCAAACGCATGTGAGCCTAAATAACCTCTCCAAGCCTATGTGTTGGATGTTGATATTTACAGCCCTCCGGGTGATGTAACAGTGGCAGCCACCGGAGGAAGACGTTAAATCTGTCTAAATGCAACCTGCAGGTTCCCACCCATCCACTGTTACATAACGCAGCAGCACCGGCTGCTCCATTATTCACCTACCTAAACCGGAGAGCCTGTCGATGAGCCCCGCATCTCTGATGGCTTTAGGGCCGTGCTCCACACCTCTTCTTTTCTGTAAAATAAACACCAGGGGGTTAAATCTGTCCTGATGATGTTAAATATTAAAAATAAAGGAGTCACATAAATCTTTTCCTACCTGTCCTCTTGAAAAAGGAGCTCCCAGCACAGCCACAGACTGAGCCCTGCTCTGTTGACACGTGTGTCCCAGTTGAGTCCTGAGAAGACTGGATAAAGGTCCTCTCAAAGCCATTTTTATTTTTGAAAATCCCAGTCGTCCCAGTTGAAGTGAATCCGATCCCAGACACCGCGCAGAAAGTCTGACGAAAGCGCGGAGAGATGTTGCGCTGCTGGATGCTGAATGTGGCCGCGCTGGTGCAAGAGGCCGTTCTTATTGCTCCTCTGGCTACTTAATATTCATGAGCTGCTACACTCAGACTAATGAGAACACGCCCTAACTTGAACATGAACACATACAGCTTATTTAAGTTTCTTTGAGGTTGTTTGTGAAGCGTTTATAACGTGTAATAAAGTTTTATTACCATATATACATCGTGTTATGTACAGCTGCTGACGTCACGTTGAGTGACACACCTTCATAGTGGCCAATGGGAAATGGCAAAATGAGAGGGTTCGCTCTGTGGGCGTGGTCTGAACTGATGTAAGCTGGGTCAGGTGCTGTACATGACATGTTTGTTGGGAAACTACTGCAGTCTCATCGAAGTGGAAATTTCCGGAGACGCAGCCGAGCGCGACTGATAGGCCTGTTTACATTGTCGCGTTTGACCTGGGTGTTTATCAACATGTGTCCCAAAACACCCGCCTATCATAGGCAGTGTCAGGTCAAGAGGAAAACACATAACCATCTCTAGGCCTACAGCTGTCCATATAGGCAAGGCAGCTGTATTTGTGTGGCACAGTTCACACACCAGGGCAACTCAAAGTGCTTTACAGAGCAGTAGAATATAAAACATGATAAAGGATGTAGAAAAGAGTAAAGAGAAAAAACACATATAAAAGGTGAAATTAATTACTAAATGTTTACAATTGAAAAAAACACCATTAAAACTAGCAAAGAGTGCAGACAAGTGGTGCAAAGATGATTTAAAATGATATAAAAAATTGAGTTAAAGAGTAAGGTTGCAGTCATTACAGAGTGGAGTAGGCAGTGTAAGAAAGAAATATCTTTAGCTTTGACCTTAAAGTGTTCAGAGTCGGGGCTTGTCTTACATCAGCTGGGAGGTTATTCCAGGTTTGTGCTGCATGATAACAGAATACTGCTTCATCATGTTTTGCTCTAGTGTATATCAGGTCATGTGTTCAAGGGACCCACTATCTTTGAGTTGATTTTTATTAGATAAGCAAACTTAAAAGAGTATCATCGCAGAGTATATCCCAACAATTGTGTGTAAAGATATAAAAACAGGATTTTTTTAAAAAAAATAGTATTTTAGATTGAAAAAAATGTTATGTCAGATTTTTTTAATGTAAAAAGTGTAAAAAAAAAAACAAAAAAAAAAAAAACATGTTTCAGTGTCAGTTACACTCTTTCAGTTAAAAAATATTGCAGAACTCAACTAATACCACCAGCAAAGACACAAGGAACTTAAAGATGCGCACACCTTAATCTTTTCTCGCTGAGACTTTTGTTGACTCCCTCTTTACTTGCTTTACTCAGTCCTCACTTATTCGTCTTTAACTGGTGCAACATGCAGCTGCCAGGGTGTTAACAAAAACTAGTTGTCTTTTCCACATCACCCCAATACTTGCCCCCCTTCGTTAGCTTCCAATAAAACACTGAACTGATTTTATTACTTTTATTAATGACATAAAAGGCTTTACATGACATGGCCCTTGCATATGTAGTAGAGGTTTTGAGTCCCTATTCTCACAGTTGGCAACTTCAGTCATCTGATCAGGGCCTTTAATCAGTTCCCATTTGTTTTTAACCCAGAGATGACCGTGCTTTTGCGATTGTTGCTCCTAAACTTTGACACAGCCTTTCCATTAGAGCTGCTGAAAACTCACTTCTAAAGGTTGGCCTTTCTATAAATACTCTCTGTTTACCCTTATTTATTTATTTTAATTTTGATCATGAACTTTAACTCTTGTCTATGTATCATGCATACATATGGGTCTGTATGTATTTATGTATGCTTAAATATTTATATGTGTCTTATTCCATAGGCGGTGTTGCCTCACAGCAAGAGGGTTCCTGGTTCGGAGCCCTTCTGTGCAGAGTTTGCATGTTCTCCCCGTGTCAGTGTGGGTTTCCTCCAGGTGCTCCAGCTTCCTCCCACAGTCCAAAGACATGCAGGTTAACTGGTGACTCTAAATTGTCCGTAGGTGTGAATGTGAGTGTGAATGGTTGTCTGTCACTATGTGTCAGCCCTGTGATAGTCTGGTGACCTGTCCAGGGTGAACCCTGCCTCTCACCCAGTGTCAGCTGGGATAGGCTCAGTATAACTGGGTAAGCGGTTACATAAATGAATGAATGTATCTTATTCTATATGTGATGTGGTTTGTAAGTGCATGTTTTAAACAGTGCTATATTAAAAGATTATCACACTATTAAAAAAAAACAAAACATTACAAGTAAAACTTTAACATACAAAATCTTAATTAAAAGTATTATCTGCAAAATAATTGTCATTATGTAGACACATTCGTAAGAACAAACATACAAACATTAGGTGATTATAACTTATGCACTAATGTCTAAGTAGGGTTCTAATGTTTTATCAGGTGGAGGTAGAACTTTTGAAACCATTTTATAACAGTGTATTTTAGAAGATTATATGTTTCATATGTAATCTTACTCCACTGTCATGAAAGATGCTAAAAAAAAGTCAGCTTTTAGTGAAGTAGAAGTTGAGAGTTGGTAATTAAAATACCAGTTGACACAAGTCGAGAGCCACCACCAGTACTACACTGGGCAGTCTCATCTCCAGTTCTTACAACACATTGCATCAGCACTCACCACCAGTAACCCAGCAACTGTGTGCATATGACTTCACTCAGGATCTTATTTGACTTTTCTTAAACATGGATTTGACTTGACTTGACTTGTCCTACTTTCACCCTTTACACCTCAGACATCTGCAAGGAGCAGAATCCTTAACCCTCTCCTCGCCAGTGTCCAGTGGTTTATACGTGAAGTCTCTTATGTATGCATATCCTTAGTTTTGTGGAACACACACATAACATATGTACACACAGTTAAACAACAACTATACCAATAAACATTATGTGAGTATATAAAATACACAAAGTAATTATTATAAGAGCCAGATCATAATGACTCAGCATATTAATACAGGAATTTGCCTCACACTGCAAAGTAACCTCCAACCACTGCTGTCACATAAATTTAGTGAAGTAAATTAGCATTGAATGGAAACACTCAACTAAAGTAGCCTACAAGTATCTCAATAGGCCATTATATGAGCAGTAGCCTATTGTACTTGCTTAAATGTGCTTGCTGAGATATGCAGTAATGAAAACCATATCCGTCTTACTTTTTATGTTAAGTCTCAACTCATAGTTTGGCTCGGCTATATTCCTTCAAAAAGCAACATATAGATAGCGTTCTTGCAAAGTATACACATGAGACAATACAAAATACATAAACAATTTCTAAAACATGCAAAAGATTTATGCAACATGTAACTACATTGATTTTTAACACTTTGAATTAAAAGAACAGAGGAAAAAGTGGAGAACTGATGGTCTGTTGTCACTCAGCAACATAATTCTAGAATGTTAACTGAATCATGTGGTTGCTGAGCAACACTGAGCACCCTACGTTTGTCTCCTCATGTAATCAGCCTATATTATTTGGCCATGATGCATCCAGTGGTCAGACAACGGTTGTGCTTAGTGTCCAGTCATTGGGAGGGTAAATGACTGCGCTGAGATCTATAAAATAAAGGAAGGCATTTAGCGCCACCAAGTGACTAAAAAATGGAGAACACAGATAGTTTAATATGTGAAAATGGATTTCCATTCCCTGATTACAGTCTGTCAGGCAAAACCTTTCCCCTGGATGTTAGCTATACACATCTCCCTCTTCTCATATTTCATCTAAACAAGGTCCTAAACAGTACTATTTGATTTATAATGTATGTTGGGGTATTGCAGTCTGGGATTGAATCTGTGCGCTAACCTGCAACATCTTATTCAAATACTTCTGGTTAGAGATGGCTGTGGCATTTATAACCAGAGACCAGTTCCACAGTATGTTGTGTATCTTTAATACCTTTCAGCCAGCCATTATTTAAAATTTACAAGCCTACACTACTGAATTACAGAAATTTCATTTTGCTCACCCTTTTATCCAAACAGACCTAAAATAAGTGCATTCAACCATGAATACAGCCTAAAAACTGCAGGAATTATGCAAGTACTAACCTCATGAAATCTGCTTAACTGCTGCAAGTACATATTATATACCCCATAATAAACATCAATAGATAATAAACTTTGAGTTGGTCCAGTTTTGAAAAAATACTTTATTCTTGCATGAAAATGTCTGTACTGTTGTAATATGCACAAATATAGTGACTTACACAAAAAAAAACAAAACCAGACGTGATGTTTAGTGTAGGGTTGAAAACAATTGTTGTTGTTTTTTCAAATTATCTGTCAGTTATTTTTCTTATCATCCAGTTTAAAATCTACAAATGTCAGAGAGTAGTGACAATGTCATTCATATTTTTTAGGTCCCAAGGTAATATATTCAAGTACATGTTTTGTCTGACCAACAGAACAAAATCCAAACATTATTTATATAATAATGTGTAAAAAAGGAGAAAAACAGCAAAATCTCACACTTGGAAAAACTGAAACCAGATAATGTGTTAACCATCGATTAATCAGCTTCTATGAAGTAAACTGCTAGGTTTACAGTATGACTTATCTTAAGAACAGCTACTAAGTTCATTTTTATACCGTCTTGAAATGAATGGAAATCACTGACTGCTGGGTCAGGAAAGGGCAAATGAGTCTGTATTTTTCGTTTTTATTTTACAATTGCTTCTGCAAAATAAATGTGTGTTTCTCATGCCTTTGAATTGAATTGAATTTTTCAACATCATGTGCAATATTACTTTTAAATATCATGATCACTTGACAATGTCATGTGTTATTTCAGTTTCTTAATATCATTAACAATACAACTTTTTTTTATAGATTTTCTTTGTGAGTTTTTAACACTAACAATTCACAATCATGGACATAAGAAATACAGGACAGAAAAAAATACATGAAAATAAAAACAAAAACAAAACAAAAAATAATAGTAGTAATAATAATAATAGGGATTTTAAGAAATTGTAAGATAAACGATAACACACTGCCAGCCAGAGGAAAAACAGTACA